CCTGCGTGGCTTCCCTCCGGGCAACGGCGGAATCCGAGTCACGGGTCCGAGTCCAGAGAGGCCGGAACCGGAGGCCACGCAGGGCGGGGAGATGAACCCCAGCACCGGGACCAATTCCCCTATGGAGAACAGGACCCCTCTTCTGGACGCTTTTGCTTGCAGCCCCAGCCAGGAAGAGCTGAGAACAGTTCAGCTGCTGCTCTGCTCCAGGACGTGGCCGACGTGGTCCCGCCCTGCACCAGGAGAGCTCGTGTCCCCACATCCTTCCCCCTCCCTCTCGCCTTCGGGCTCTCCAGGCTGGAAGCACCCTGCCACCCCACAGCCTGCTCCACACTCTGCTCCACGCTCTGCCCGGTGCAGACTCCCATCTCCCGCTGCTGCTCAGAGCCCCAGGACTGAGCTGAGGAGCCTCAAGGACGGGAAGAGGGTCCCGGCCCTCCCGGCACTCACCTGCTCAGCGAAGTCCTTCTCCAGGGCCTCGTAGGCTGTGTAGGTTTTGTTTCCTCCCCACTTTTCTTCTCGCAGAATCACAAACTCTGCGACACACAGATTTTAAGGCGCAGATTAACCCATGCAGAGCCTCGCGCCCTGCTCAGCCACATAAACCCCCCGTCCCGCTTTGCCCGAGAGCAGGGGCTGGGGAGGGGGCACTCAGGGGCAGCCTGCTTCAGGGGGGGCACGCGCCCGTCCCCTCCTCTCACCCACAGGAAACACCAGGTCCAGCGCCCGAGCCCCTCACCTGACTTGAGGGGAAAGAGAACGTGCTTGATGAAGGAGAGGACACCGTTGTTCTCCACGTTCCCTGGCTCACAGAAAGCCTTCTTCAACTTCTTCTTCACGTCCTCCTTGCGGTCCAGAAGGTCAATCTTTGAGTCCTGCAGGGAAAGATTTCCGCAGCCCTTCACCCAATGCTCTCGCCCAAAAGACAATTCACGTTGGAGTAGCTGCAACTTCTTCTCAGCCCCCAGGGTGAGCGGAGAGAGAAGGCACCCTGGAGTCTCTGTACCAGGCTGTGCCTCAGTTTCCCTCGTCGGCGCAGTTCCCAGCCTGCCTAGGCACAGGGTGGGTCCCTGCTTTGCAAGGCCTGGGGATGATGCAACCCTCCAAGGGGAACGTCCTCACCTCCCTGTCCTCGTTTAATCCCCCCCGTGCTGCCCCTTCTCCGCTCAGTCATTTTGCTGCCTGTCAGACCAGGAACCATCGGGTTCATCAAATGGACGCGCTTGGCGTAGCCCAGGGAAGGAAGGTACTGGGAAAAAGCACGGAGGCAAGTCATGGCCAGTCCTCTTCTGAAGACCAAGCTTTAACTCACAATCCCTGTGAGGCTCCAGGTAACTTGGGGACCCAGAAAGCTACCGCGAGGTCACAAGGCGTGGACAGCCACAGCCAGGGCTGCGTGGCAGCACACCAGCGCCCTGCAGACCACAAGAGCAGCAGCGGGAGCTGCGAAGGGCACTGCGGTGCCAACCGAAACCACAGACACGCTTCTCCCAACGGATTAACGAGTGTTCGGGCCTGGAGACGGGCGTCAGCACCGCAGGGGGCTCAGAAACACCCCTGCTCCTCACCTTCTCTGCGAAGGTGAATATCTTCCTCTGATCAACCCCTCCGAACTGCGCGTCGACCTTGAGGTACTCCTCATCCAGCGCCTGCAGAGAGACACACACAGCCCTGAGATGGACCCTGAGGCTCCACGCTCCGGCCGTGCCC